ATATTAGAGTTCTCTGTGTATAGTCTGTGTACATGTGTATATTAGAGTTCTCTGGGTAGCTCTGGTTTCCTACTTACCATCAAAAGGTAGCATTCTCTCTGTTGGCTACCACAGACCTACAAGCTGCCATTAAAAATATTTTGATGAACTCTCTAAAATCCTGCACAGAACTCTCTTACTCCCCTTCCTGGCTTCCCCATATCCCTTTGTGTGCATTTTGATTGATGCTTACATTTTACATCATTTCAAATGCTATCATAACTAACACCTAGCAAGCACCCATTAATGTTGATTCACACAGTTATCCATGAGGGTGTCAGTGTGTGCATTCCAATTGAGTTCTGAAAAGGAAAAATATCCTGGAATAATCCAAATTCCTAGAAAGACAATTGGCATACAATGACAAATACAGAGATCTTTTGGTTAGTTATGGAATCCCCCTCCATAGGCACAGTACCTGACGGAGGTTCGCTGCTGGTACTACCTCCAGCCAAGCTTATCTATGTACATTCTGGTAGAAATCCATATTTGTTGTTGTTTTTGTTGTTTTAAATAAAGCCTCACTCTATAAACTAGAAGAGCCTCAAACTCTGACCTCCTGCCTCTACCTCCCCATTGTTGACACTTCAGTCATAAACCATCATGCCCACCTGTAAAATCAAAATTTACAAGAATTTTTGTTAGCTAACCAGAACACACTTCAATATCTGATCAGCCTTGATATCTAATCAGCCACCATGCTTTCCCAGACAGCGTCGGATCGCCCTGGCCTGTCTTCAGCAGAAGCCAGGATGCCACCATGCTTTCCCAGACAGCGTCGGATCACCCTGGCCTGTCTTCAGCAGAATCCAGGATGCCCTATGTGTCTGGTGTTCCCTTCCAGCAATTTTTCACTTACCATCAGCCACCTACTCTTCTGCTATAGGTTACATGATGTACTGAGAACAGAGTCCCAATCTCTGTCTCCTGACACTTTACCCCCATTGCTAATTCTGATGATCCTTAGTAATGGTTTTCATGTTACAAATAATTCAGAATAATTAATGACAGAATGCTGTATCTTCTCAAATAATTTACAGGAATTTTTTGGTTGGTTGGTTGCTTAGTTTTTCTTTTGGTTTTCAGATTTCTGTCTTTCACTGTTTCTCTGTCTCTCTCTGTCTTTGTATCTCTGTTTCTGTATCTCTCTCTATCCCCCTCTCTCCTTTTTTCTCTCTGTGTGTCTTTCTCTGTGTTGTGTCCCTCCTCCATCCCTCCCCCCCCACCGTGTGTGTGTGTGTGTGTGTGTGTGTGTGTGTGTGTGTGTGTGTGTGTGTGTGTGTTTTACAGGGATTCACAAAGCCCAGGATAATCTCAAGTAGCCCTGGCTGAATTTAAATGTGCTTTGTAGCTGGGTCTGACCTTGAACCTCTGATTTACCTGCTGGTATCTCCCAAGTGCAGGGATTACAGGCCTGTAACATGATGGAACCCAGAGCTGAGGGAAGGCCAGCATGAGATCTGGAAACAATGTGGTATCTACCGACACACACAAGACAGAGTCATTCTGTCTCAGTTGCTGCAACTAACATGGATCCAACTGCTGCTTCCTGAAAGGGAGTAACCTAGGACAAGACACCACTTGAAAGTGGTGATCCATCATGGACAAGGTATGGTGGCACAGCTTGATCACACCATCCCATCTCCTCCCTCTCCTACACTGTCTTTCCGGCAACTGCCGCTCTGTGACAGTGGTCTAGACTGTGGTCTGTGACAGCGATCTATGGATGGACCAGTTCAGCTTTTATCTTCCTGCCTGAGAGGCTGAGCAGTCTGCAGCTTCCCATCTGGCCGCACCACAGCAGCCACGCTCAGAGGAAGCCACACAAGCTTCTTTCGCAGCTCAGTATCTAGTGGTTTTTGCTACGCCGTGTGAGCAGGCAGCTGGCTCCCGAGGAAATATTGATGTGAGATCCCCTCACTGAGAGCTTCCCATTTGATCCTGGGGCACCTCGACTAAACCCTCTGTATCACAAGTGCCCTTTGAATAGCTGTCTAAGGAGTGTGCATGGGAAGTGGGCTAGAGCCTGGGTTCTGCAGGCCTCCCCATTCCCCAAGGGAAGGAGTGGCCTACGCTTCAAAGCAGAGCTGGCTTTCCAGACTGACTTTCTTGTTCTTTCTGCAAGGGCAGATAAGTGATGGTCTCTAGCCTTGTTTGTGATGAACATGGAGTTGTCTGTGGGAGGGACTGACCAACAGATAGCCCAAAATAAGACATAAAAACCAACAGGAGACAGTAGTCACTCTAGCTGAACCAAAAGGAAATTTCATTTCCCCAAATGTCAAAAGGTAAAAGGGATAAATGACTATCTGTGGTACCTATTAGCATACCAAAGTGCATGCTGGCCTCCAGGCTCCCTCCGTATCACAAGTACCTGTTACACATTTCCAAGTCCATGCTGGCATCCTGGCTCTTCTCAGCTCTTTTCCCCTCCTCCCCTACCCTAAATTCCCTCCAGCTCAGGAGCCTCCCTCACCCCAGCTACTCATTTCCCTTAATCCCTGGTTTTTCAGCTATACTCTATCCTTGCACACATCCTCTCTATCTTCTTCTCTGTCTCTCTGTCTCTCTGTCTCTCTCTGTCTCTCTGTCTCTCTGTCTCTCTCTCTCTCTCTCTCTCTCTCTGTGTCTCTCTCTCTCTCTCTCTGTCTCTCTCTCTCTCTTCTCTCCTCTACTCTCTCTCTCTCTCTCTCTTCTCTCCTCTACTCTCCCTCTCTCTGTCTCTCTGTCTCTCTGTCTCTCTGTCTCTCTGTCTCTCTCTGTCTCTCTTCTCTCCTCTACTCTCCCTCTCTCTGTCTCTGTGTCTCTGTCTGTCTGTCTGTCTGTCTCTCTCTCTCTCTCTCTGCTCTCCTCTCCTCTCCCTCTCTCTGTCTCTCTTCTCTCATGGCTAGGCCCAGTCTGGTGTCTGTGTTCAGTCTAATACTTTGTTGCTCCTTTGGGCTCTCCTGGATACCTATGGCTGTTCTCTTTCTCACATCTACAGTAAAAGCCTTCCTGTTAACGATCCTAAGGAGCACACATCCTGTATACAGCAGAGACTCGAGGAAGTCCAATGGTGCAATTGTGTAGCTTGAGGTACTTCTACCATAGAGAGTCAATGAAACGGAATACACGGCGTACTTCATGGTGACAGTCTCCAGCTGAGACGGAATACACGGAGTACTTCATGGTGACAGTCTCCAGCTGAGACGGAATACACGGCGTACTTCATGGCGACAGTCTCCAGCTATGTCAACTGCAGGGACTTACTGTGAGCATTTAGAATGCCCTGCTCTAGAACTCCAAAAGGCCCCTGAAGACCTTTAGTCATTGTCTCAAATCTGCAGTTACCTTGGATTCCAGAAACAGGATGGCTAAACATCTTCCGGACAAGTGACTAAAGCCACCCCCGACCAATCTTGAGCCTCAGAAGACAGAGCACTCAATTCCCCATGCCTGTGAGGCAGCGCCTGGAGCTGAGGCACTGCCTAAAGCCATGAGGACTTCCTGGAGGCAGCTTCAGAAGCAGACTGGAGATAAAGATCAACCGGACATACCTAGACCGGAACTGATAAACTATGTGGACCTCTTGTTCTCTGCTCAAACAGTTCCTCCTGCTTAACCAGGATTCATGGCAGTCCCCTGAAGAGGAACTTGAGGTCACTGGAGCCCCTTCTCTGTTCCTCCCACAGTGAGCCACTTTGATTAAATCTCCATTTTTCTGTGTTTCACCATGACTGTGTCTTCCTTAGTTCACTTATTATAATAACTCCTAAACCTGCACTATTTGTCCTAACACTCCAGAAACATTATCATGTGTAAGCCCAATCTATCAATGTGAGCTGGGACTCAAAAGGTGCACACTCTGTGTGTGTGTGTGTGTGTGTGTGTGTGTGTGTGTGTGTGTCTGTGTCTGTGTCTGTGTCTCTGTCTGTCTGTCTGTCTGCCTGCCTGCCTGCCTGCCTGTCTGCTGATTCGGAGGGAGGGACCTAACCCCAATTTCCTCCAAACTTGCTACTATCTGGCCAGCTGAGGGACAATTACAGGCAGTCTGTCTGCAATCCTGGAATCCACAGTGAAGGTACCAAAGTAAGAAGGAACAAACTGTCTAAAGAATTTCAAGAACATTAGAATTAACAGACTGTCAATGATGTGCTTTTGCACATACACACACATTCACACAGATGTACACATTCACATACAACACACACATACATAGCCATACAAACACATTCATACACATTTACATGCAGCACACACATACAGATCCATATACACACATGTACACATTCACATACAGTACATGTAAGGATTCTGTCCTTAATTACATCATCAGCCTGCGATTGTGTCCCAGCCTAAAAAGTGGGTGGGCCCTCTGTGTGCCTCTCTTCCCTTTCCATCTGTTCTCTCTCTCTCTCTCTCTCTCTCTCTCTCTCTCTCTCTCTCTCCCTCTCTCCCTCTCCCCCTCTACTCCTCCCCCTCTCTTCCCTCTCCCCCCCACTTCTCTCCCAATAAAGCTCTAAAAGATAACCATGGCTGTGATTCTTCCTCCAGCACTCTCCTTCATAGCGGCCAGCCACGAGGAGCAGTGCACCGTTTAACCAACAGCACACACATTCATACACATTCACGTGCGGCACACACATACAGACCCATATACACACATGTACACATTCACATACAGCACACACATACATACCCATACACACACAATCACACACATATACACATTCACTTTTAATACAAATACATATCCATACACACATTCTCTCTCATGTATATACCAGCCCAGGTTTAAGCCTGACTCACCTGAATGGCAAAGCCCTCACTCTCAGAGTCGACACATTTAAGTTTTATTGGTGTGACTATAATCTCAATTGTACTAAGTTCTCTTTACTTGGGTCTTTTTTATTTCTGCCATCATCTTCTGGCCTTCTGTTGGGTCCAGTGTCTGCTGTTTAAATAGCCTTGCTTGGCCCCTAGCTTTTAATGCTTTTACCTTTCTCAAGTGTGAGGTGAGACTGGAGATTGAGCAAGGGCAGAGAGACCTGACTTTCAGGAGTTACGAAGTGATAGCGTTAATCCAGCTGATCAAGAATAAGACCACTACCACAATTTAAAGCCCAATTCTAAGCAAGCTTTACTTACATGTGGGCCAGGTGGATAGGTTCTGGCCAGGTCCATACCCAGGTTCCTGGGAAGTGGCCCAGAATCAAGTATGGTAAGGACTTAAGAAGGAAAACCCATAATTCATTGCATTTCCCATCAGGCCAAATCAGGGGCAAGCACACATCCTGGTGTGCCTCCAGCCTATATCCAATCAGGGGTAAGCATACATCCTGGTGTACCTCCAGCCTATATCCAATCAGGGATAAGCATACATCCTGACATGTTCTTGCCTGTAAACCTCCTGTCCACATGTGATCAAGTACATCCAGTGCAGATGGGTCAAATAAACTTGTTGTAGGACTGAAAAACATGTAGTTTGTTATCTCTCATAAACAATAGCCTCCAGCATTTCAGGAACTATCTGTCCTTGAAGAAGAGATCAGACACATTTTTATTTCATGGGTCACTAAGGTTTGTAATTAAAACATAAAATATGATTTTTAGCTTTCACAATAGCAAATACATTTTAAACATTTTTGTTCCAGAATTAACTGTTTGTTATGTGTTATGGAGTTAAAAACCACAAGGAAAAGACCACAGACTGAATCCAAATTATAATTGGGTGAGTTTATTAATACTCCTAGCAGGGTGAGAGCCTTAAAACCACATGGGAGGGTTGCCACGCCGGAGGGACTGGGGAAGGGTTTTTAAATGTGGAGACCGCAACTGTCTCTTTTCTGTGGAACTGGCAGCTGCAGGAGAAACTACTTCACTTCCCTCAGCTACATGAGGAGCTGCCCCTCTCCTCTGCACAGAGTGATGAAGGGGCTGCCCTCCTCCTGCACACAGTGGTAAGGGCTGTCCTCCTCCTCTACACAGTGGTAAGGGAGCTGTCCTCCTCCTGTACACAGTGGTAAGGGAGCTGTCCTCCTTCTGTACACAGCGATAAAGGGGCTAGATAGAGAAGCTGTCTGACTCTTTGTAGCACAGCAACAAGCAAGATTACAAAAGCCAGAGAAAGAGGTTAATTATCTCACAACGGGCACTGAAAGAACCAAGCATATGCCATAACAGGCTGCTCTCAGAGATCAGGCCTCAATTTCAGTTTCCTGAGATTTGAGTAAGCATTTTCTGGGAGGGCCGTGAACAAAAGACATAGTCCTTGCAGTAGCTCCCTTTCTGCACATACTCTGACAGCTCAAGGTTCAGTCAATTGTCTACTGTCTGGGACCCCTCAACAACCTAGAGCTATGTGCATGAGTCAAGGACAAAGCCTGGGCCACTGAGCAGCCCCCACAGTCAGTATGTGCTAGGTCAACCAGCCTCCATGGCAGCTCAAGGACAAAGCCTGGGATTTGTCCGGGCCTGCACAAAAATCGTAACTGTAACCCCCAACTAACTCTAGCCAATTAAAAGTTACATGATTGCAACTTGCATAAACTAATCCTGAGTGTGTTCCTATGTAGTCTGTAGACCTCAAGCCCCCTTTGCTTTAAAAACCCTACTCCATTGCTACTCGGGGTCTCTCCTGCTCTGCTGAAAATAAACAAAAGGACACTTTGAAGGTACATGTATGTAGAACTTTGCTCCTGACAGTGCCAGCCTTGTCTAGCAGCTAACAGTAAAGCCCTTATACTCACATCATAAGATCTTCCTCACAGTGTGCCCCGGAGGGATCTCAAATGCCTGCCAGGACATCATGAAGGCCAGCTTCAAAGAAATATGACAGGAAACTGTGTGGTTCACTGGTAAACAATCTGAAAGATAAAAAAAAAAAATCAGATGATGATTCATCTACTTATAAAAGGGGAAATGTATTCGGGGCATCATTTCTTAATTTCTAATTTTCCCAGTTTTTGTATATTTATATTTTATATTATAAATATTTAGTATAAAACAGATCTCTGTATATATTGTGGCTCTGGAGAATCACACATAATGCATGCTACACAACACTCTACCGCAGAGGTACATCCCAGCCTTCAGTTTATTTGAGACAGGATCTCACTATGTGCTCCAGGTTAGCCTTGGACTTACAATCCTTTTGCCTTTTTCTGCTTTATGGGATTACAGGTGTACAACAAGATAATGCTTTGGAACATATATATCTTATTTGGCTTAGATATTTGTGAGCAAATGTGTGTATGTGAGGGGAGGGAGGGAAAGAGTGAGTGAGGGAAGGAGGGAGGGAGGGAGAGAGAGGGGGAAAAAAGACTGAGAATATATCATCATAGAGAAAAACAGTTTTTAGGGTCATGAGTAAAATTCTTCTATTTTCCAAAATATCCCCAACAGGAATTTGCTCAGGGGTTGTATAGCTGTATCATATGATAGATAGTTCTATTTTTAGGTGTTTTTTTTTTTTAATAAACCTCTGAATGGATTTTTATAGTAGCTGTACTAGTTTGTACTTCCATCAGTGGTGAATAAAGGCTCTTCTTTTCTGAGTCAGCATTCATTGTTAGATTTTTTTTTTTCATTTTACTAATTCGTTTTATTTTATGTGTATATGTGCATGCTTAAGTGTAAATATGTACACCACATGTATGCTTAAGGCCAAGGTGGTCAAAGGAAGCCACTGAATTTCCTGGAATATAGTTAGAGGTGATATGTGCTACCATGTAGGTGCTGGAAACCAAACCTGGGTTCTCTGCAAGAGCAATAATGCCCTTCACTGCTGAGCCATCTCTCTAGTTCCTGTTTCTTTAAGATTGCCGTTCTGACTGGGATGAGGTGGTGTCTTCAAGTAGTTTTAATGTATATATCCCAAATGTTTTATTCCTAATAGGAATGAAATGGGATCAGTCTCAATGGCCATCAACAGGGAATTAAATAATGAAAATATTGTGTCTTAATTAGTTTTATTGATGTGAGGAGACATCATGACCAAGGCAACTTTTAGGGGGAAAAACATTTGATCAGGGGTTTGCTTGCAACTCCAGAGGATTAGCCCATGATTATCATGGAAGGAAGCATGGCAGCAGGCTGGGAGGCATGGTGCTGGAAAGGTAGCTGAGAGCTCACATGTAGTTCACAAGTTGCAGGCAGAGGGGGCTGTGACTGGCATAGGGTTCTGAAACCTCAAAGCCAATCTACACTGCTGGGGGAGATGTCTTTCTGTATGCTATGAATATATGTTGTTGCCATTGGTAAATAAATAAGCTGCTTTGGCCTATGGCAAGGCAGCTTAGAGGCAGACAGGAAATCCAAGGAGAGATATAGGAAAGAGAAAGGCAGAGTCTGGGGAGATGCCAGCCTGCCGCCCAAGAAGGAGCAACATGCCAACAGACAAGTAAAGCCACGGAACACATGGCAAAACATAGGTTAATAGAAATGGGTTAATTTTAAGATATAAGAGCTAGCTAGCAAGAGGCCTGTCATAATCCATACAGTTTATAAATAATATTTAACCTCTGAGTGATTATTTTATAAGTGGCTGCAGTTTCATGGGGCTGGGTGGGACCGAAGAAAACTTTCGACTACACTCCAGTGACACACCACCTCCAACAAGCCTGCACCTACTCTAACAATACCCAAACAATACCATTAACTGGGGACCAAGCATTCAGACAGATGACCCTATGACTACCATTCTCATTCAAACCACCACATTCTGCTCCTA